TAATTTACAGCATATTTAAATCTGGTGTTTTCGACAATCGAGATTGGTTGAATGTTTGTTCAGAAGCGATCATGTGTGACATCATCAACTTTACCTGGAACATTTTGTTGAAAGCACTATAAAAATCGTAAAAATTTTAACTATTGTGTTAAAACCATGCAAAAATGACCAAAATGCCAGTTCAGAAGTGTGAAGTCCAACTTTCTGTGACCTGTTTAGACTTTTATTGATGTTTCTGTGACGTATGCTATAGAGCGTATATGTCAAACTCAGCGGGCCAAATCTGGTCCCCCAAGATGATAATTTAAATGTAAAATATTGTAATTTTTTCTTTAAAAAAAACTGATAAATACATAATTTAGTGTAGACTTCTCTTACTAGCTGGCTAACTTTGACGTCAGAAAGACGGCTGGATCATTCTATCATTATTGATTCTGATGTGGAAAGAGCACCAGAACATCAAGTGAGACAGATCAAACTCTTGTTGATGAACCTGCAACCAAGAAAAGACATCCGGTATCTAACTCGAGTTAATGTATCAGCTGAAAGTGGCCCATGTCTTATACAAAGTTTTTACATTTTGGCTCCTTTTGGTAACTGAGTTCGACACCCCTACTATAGAGCTACAAAAATTGCAGTTTTCTCTTTGCATGTTTTAAAAAGTTGCAGTACATGAAAACAGACATTTATTGATATACTGTAGCTCAAGGGGGAAATATTTTTACTTATACATCCTTAAAACAGAAATGTAATTACAATTCTTTAAATTTGTTGCAATTCCTTTAAGACAAGAACGTCAAATAAAAATCCCCTTGATATGTTTCTTATCCTTTTTTACTTATTCCTTAATTTGGATGAAACTGATGCAACAACATAATTGTGTTTATTCAAGTCTCTGATAATTCTCATTACTTCTTCTTCTTCTTCACGTGTTAAGCCTGTCTCATCAAAACGAAGGAACGTCTCCTGCTTCCTCAGAAGCTGGAAGACGCCCCCGCACTCCGCCGCCCCTCCGGACTCGAGCGAGGAGAATCTTTTCCCCGGAGCGTCAGAGCGTGCTGCGGCTCGTGAGCCAGCTGGAGGCTCTGGTGGAGCGGGGCGACGGAGGTGGTTTCAATAAGTGGAGGAGGGCAGTCAGAGCATGTGGCCGAAAAAGAGTTATTATTGCTGCTGGCCCTTGTCTGACAATGTGCAGACCAGTGCCCCCTTCCTTTTCAGCTGGGTGGAAAAAAATGATCAGAACCTGAACAATAGTAAGACTTGCCTGAATAATGAGGCCCATTATTACTATTTCCTGGATTTTTCTGCAGTGTACAGGTTGGTGTGTGCTCCTGATTCGAAAAGGTGACTGCAAGGAAAGAAGAGATAACCTCGCCAGCTTCTTGATGGTTTCTTCAACTGTCGTCCAAAGTGGGACGTTAGCCAAAGATGCATTTCCAGGATTATATATTTAACATAGAGCCATCAGCCTTTGGAGGAACGACCACTCATCCATGATGCACTCTCCTGGATTTATCAGCGCCCAACCACCAGTTGATCCTTGTGCACTTTTTTGTCAACATATCTTTAATTATCCTTTTCAGGACGAAATGCCAGCCCCACAGACAATAATATCAGCGAACTCTACAGCTTGAAAGACACTGAGCGATGGGAAACGTTATGGGCTTCGGTGAGGAGATAGGGCTCGTGATGGATTGGTGCTGTGGTTTTTACAAATGGGCTTTTTGCAAAAGATTTGTCAGTCAGAACAAAAGCTACACAAACACTCCCATTGTGCAGTTTTGCCATTATAAACAGGCGTGCAAGGAACCTGTGTTCATAAATATGCAAATTGTTTTCCTCTCTGCATAAAACCAGCCTTTTATCTTACCTAACAGAAGCTTTAGTCATTGTTTGGCAGAAACGCGTAAATAAAATCAGACTTGAGGTGAACTCAGAGGTTTTGACTCTTCTTGGCTTCGGGGAACGTCACCTTGAATAAAAGCAGAACAAGCAGGGAACATATTCTGATTGTGTTGGAGTTTTTTTTTAGGAAGAGGAATATGGTTTCCATTCTGGTGGTGTGCACTGCTCCAACTCCTTACCATTGCAATGATATTTAAGGGTGCATAAAATGTTGCCAAGACTAGTTTTCTTGTGTTTTGTTGACTTGGAGAAAGCTGTCGACTGAATCACTGTGTTGTTGTGTGGCTTTGAGAATACGGGGCACTACAAAGTATTCAGTTCCATTATAAATTGAAACGTTCCCATTGTTGGTTGGTTTCCTGTAGGCGTTAGATCAGCGGTGTCAAGAAACATCTCAAATTTTGGATGTTTCCTTGCCCAAGGAATTTTTTTTGGGGAGTCCTCAATCTTTTGTTTGAACAAATAAAACTTGGTCACTAAGTTTTTTGTTGATATAAACTAAATGTTTCTCTGCTTTGACACATGATTTGAATGAATGAATGAATGAATGAATGAATGAATGAATGAATGAATGAATGAATGAATGAATGAATGAATGAATGCAACCAAGGTGTTGAGGGGATCTGTTTTGGTGATCTTAGGATCGTGTCTCTGCTTTTTGCAGATGATGTGGTCCTATTGACTTCATCAGGTCGTGACCTACAGCTTTCGCTGGAGCGGTTCACAGCTGAATGTGACAAGGCCAGGATGAGGATCAGTTTCTTCAAATCCAAGTCTTGAGTCAGAAAAGGGTAGAGTGCCTTCTTCTGGTCAGGGTGGAGGTCCTGCCCCAAGTGGAGGAGTTTAAGTGTCTTGGGGTCGTGTTCACAAGTGAGCGAAAAATGGAGCAAAAGATTGATAGGCGGATAGATGCGGCATCTGCAGTGAAGTGGGTGCTGTACCGGTCCGTTGTGGTGAAGAGAGAGCTGAGTCAAAAGACAAAGCTCTCAATTTACCAGTCGATCCACGTTCCTACCCTCATCTATGGTCATGAGCTTTGGATTGTGACTGAAAGAACGAGATCACGGATACAAGCGGCCAAAATGAGTTTTCTCCGCAGGGTGTCTGGGCTCTCCCTTAGAGATAGGGTGAGAAGCTCGGTCATCCGGGAGGGACTCAGAGTAGAGCCGCTGCTTCTCCACGTCGAGAGGAGCCAGTTGATGTGGATCGGGCATCTGGTTAGGATGCCTCCTGGACACCTCCCTGGTGAGGTGTTCCAGAAGACATGTCCCACCAGGAGGAGGCCCAGACAGAATACCCAGGACACGCTGGAGGGACTATGTTTCTCAGCTGGACTGGGAACGCCTTGGTATTCCCCAGGAGGAGCTGGCCCAAGTGGCTGGGGAGAGGGAAGTCTGGGCCTCCCTACTTAGGCTGCTACTCCCGCAACCCGACCACGGATAAGCGGAAGAAAATGGATGGATGGATGGAATGAATGAGTGATTAACAGGCTTCTGCAGAACTTGAAGACATGCTGAAGAGCAGGGAAACATTAAAACATGCAAGACTGTGTCCCTTAAGGAACACCAGTCTAGTTATTAGTTATATCAGGTTATAACAGGTTAGGTTATAAATTATAGAACAGGTCAAAGCTGTTTTCATATAAAGGCTCAGCTGCAGGCACTGAGGGTTTCCAATGTGGTTGGCTCTGGATAGTGTCTTTACTTTTTCCAGATAATTCAGTTCTCTTACTGAGTGGAGACCTCCAAAAGGCACTATTACAGTTTGCAACTGAGTGTGAAGCTGTGAAGAAGACTGTCTTTACAGCATCACTTTTTATAAAGTTTATCAACCCCTGAGCCAAAAGTACTGAATTTGTGAAGAGTTGTTACAAAGCTGGATTGACTGGATGTTTAGATGTTTTTTTTTTCTTGGTAAATCCTCATCTGTTATTAGAGCAATTGACAACTTCAACAGAAATGCACTGACTTTATCTGAGTAGTTATCTTCCTTCAAATGCAGCCACTTCGTTCATAAAAATCCCTTTAATTTATGCATCATTATTTTTAGTCACTGTCATTTTATTGTCCTTTTCGTCTAAATGAACAATACGGGGTGTGCACCAACTAAAAGATGTTTTCCTTGTTTACTGTAGCTGAGAGGAAAATACGGAGCCCGCAGAACTTTGAGGATAATTTGTCTTGTCAGAAAAATTTAACAAGAGCAGGATGTGACTGTGAAAAACGGCAGAATAACACAGAGCCTGCAGCTCTCCTCCTTTCCGCCTCGGCGCTGCGGATTTGAATTTGCTGCCAGGTTTAATTCCGCACTCGACTTCCTTTTGATTGACAGGTTTGCCTAAACGCAGATTTTGTTCCTGC